AAGCAAGTTAATCAATTAAGGACAAGCCTAGTCATTCAACTTTCTGAGAGTAGCTGTTCTGCTGTGAATGTTGCTAGATAATTTGGGAGAAGCACAAGTACTGTATCTGATATTAGAAAGAAAAATACATGCAGTATGTGATAATACTAGTTCATGCCCCTTCACTCATTAATAATTATGCAGTTATATAAGATCATTTACTGTACAAGTGGCTTGCACCGCATCACACACTGGATATTGGAATCTGCAGTGAAGAGAATGAATGCAGCAAGCATGTTTGTAATCAGTTTATGGATAACCAATTTCAAGGAAAGCTATGGTTGATTTGCAAGAGTTGAACAAGAGGCACAACATAACCAAGAGAAGATTGCCAGTGAACCATTGTGTGTAAATCTGAATAGTGTTGAGACATTCAAGAATAAATTAAAAACCTACACATTTTCAAACCATTTATATATGTTTCAAATTTATAATGCCAATGGAATTGTCTTGTATTGGACTTTTGCTGATAAAACTTTACCTCTTGGATGGAAGGCAACTTTGCTGGGCCATAAGGAAAATAAGACACATTGTCAGCCATAGTGTGCACAGATGCAGTTGGTGCACACAGAACAGTGTGCACAATCATTCGGAAAGCTGCAAAACCGACAGCTTTAAAGGCAGATTGGTTACACTTTTAAAGTATAGTGTATTATAACTTGAAAAAAGCTGTAGAGTTCACACACACACTTGTTGATTTTATGCATTTTGTAAAGTAGAGAAAATAAAGAAATGTGGAGTAAGGTGAGTAAATTCAGGCTTTGGTACTGTTAGATAATACACATGCTCCTCCCAATATTGACACCATAACCTCAGATGGTAATATAAGATATATGGCACTACAACCAATACCACCTCTCTTAACCGCTTGTGGATTAAAGAGAGGTGTACAGTCTTTTTGTAGCACAAATGTTAATGAAATTTTAATTGTGTATCGAGTTAAGTCACGTTACCTGGGCATAAATAAAAAACTTAAAATATTCAATCATAATTAGCCTAAAGTTTGAAGTGAGGTTAAAAGGAGCCCATGTAGAATGCTTGAAAGAGAAGCCTAACTGCCCCAGTTAATGAGGTTGAAGTGAATGACAAGCTTTGAGGGATTTGTTGCTGATGACATTTTCTGACAAGTTTGTGAGAACTTGGAGAATATTGTTGACTGGTAAGAAAAAGATGGTAATGACCCAGGATGTGGTATGTTGACTGGAGATGAGAATTATGGAAACCATTACATGCGAGGTAGAGGCAGCAGCAACACAAATTACAACATTTAGGGACCTCATAACATATCAGATTCTTTGTTTAACTTATCAGCTCTATCATGCATTCGGAGGCCAACGTGAGATGGAGACCACATGAAATGGACTCTGTTTGTAGGTAGTAACTAAGTGATTGAAACCTATCCACCGCTGCCCACTGGATGGGGGGCGGTGTGCAGGACAAACATATCAATTGTGACACTAGCTCTCCACATATGTCAGTTGCTTAATTTAGAAACTGTACTTGTGGTCGATCTCGAACCCTTTGTTGATGTGATGACTTATACTGAATTTTGTAACTTGCTCATCACGATTGTAACTTTCTTAACTAAATGAATTGTGGGGTTCAGTCTCTGAGCCCATTATGTGCCTCTGTAACCCTTTCCACTACCGCCCACAAGATGGGTATGGGGTGCATAATAAATGAACTAAACTATAACATGTCATTAATGCTTCCAACAGTGAAAATAAAGCTGTTATTTTTTATTAGTACTTCAAGGGGATTTAAGGAATATCAAGAAGGCTAATGAAAAAAGGGTGTCAAAAATTAATATTTGTTAAGATCTGAAAGCCAAAGACCTACCAGCAAAGCCACAGCAGCTTTCAATATCGAGTTTGCCAAGCACTCGAGTAATTTTAGGGTTAAGTTATTGTACACAAGTCTTTCAGTTATGTGTATAGAACTTTATTATGGTAATGTAAAATAAAAATAGTATTCCATTCTCTGGGTGATAAAGTCAGTCGTTAACTCGAAAGTAAATTTAAATTTATTATTGTAGTTCTATTTTATTTCTATGGAGATGCTGCCATAACAATGTAAATGTTTATTATACTTAGAAATATAAATTAAATTGGTTAAAATGTTTACAAATAATAAATTTGAGTACTGTAAATAGGAATTTTGCGTAGCTCAGGTGGGGGTCTACCCCCTCATGATCCAAATTAGTGAGCGATATCTGTATTGAATTACTGTATATACAAAACATCAGGCACTATATCCAGTGTGACTGACAACAAAATATTTATTTGCTATCACCTAAGCACCATTATGCATGTCTGTGCCACTGGTGCTTGACTAGGGGTCAACTAGGGTTCACCAAGTTCTCAAGCTACACTGAATATTAATACAACAGCCAGGTCAAATGGTTGGTGAAGGTCAACACTGAATCACACCATAACATGTCCAATACAGTAATAAACCTAAAAAATAAAAAAATAAAAATTAAAAAAAATAGTTACGAAATGATTACTGCTAATTTTCTATCGGTTATATCAAGTCTTGAGTGGAACAAATATCAACCGTGTTCCTCTGTTCCACCAAATTATTAGTTCAACAGTCTTGCACACAAACTCGCAAATTAGCATTCATGTGATATGCAGACGTGTCATTTACACACAATGATAATTCAAACTGCAGGTACCATGACACATTCCATGGACTTTAGACACTAAGTTTTCTCTTTACTGCACATCTTAAATAATACCATATTTCTTATAACTTAAAAGATGTCATTTATAAACTGTCAAAGGAAAATCTAAAGTTGTTATAAGATCTTAATAAGACACTTCAAAACATTATTCTTGATGAGAAAATCAACTGGAGCAATGTGGAAGATTTGAACCCTCAACCTGGGTTATCTTGAGGTTATCTTGAGATGATTTCGGGGCTTAGCATCCCCGCGGCCCGCCCCTAGACCAGGCGTCCTTTTTGTTACACCCCCAGGAAGCAGCCCGTAGCAGCTGTCTAACTCCCAGGTACCTATTTACTGCTAGGTAACAGGAGCATCAGGGTGAAAAACTTTTTGCCTATTTGTCTCTGCCTCCACTGGGGATTGAATCCAGAACCTCAGGACTATGAATACGAAGCGCTGTCCACTCGGCTGTCAGGTGCCCAGGCTGTGGTACTCCCAGGCCGTGCACCTTACCTCTGGACCATGACATGGTACAAATTATACAACCTGGGATTCCACTGAATTCACATGACCTCTAGAAGCCTCTACTGAAGCCAATCCAGGTTTTACATATTAACCCCCCCCCCCATGCACTCTGATATAGGTAATGGAGTTAGCTCTCCACCACATGTGGCATAGCAGTACCAGATCAAGGGTTTAAATCCTTAGCATTGCTCCAATTGATTTTTTCATTGATATAACATGTTAGTGTGCTTTCCTTGTGTATTACTCAATGAAAAGTATCTGATGGGACTGTATTAATTCTGAAAAAGATTTACATCAGAAATTATTTTTAATTCAACTCCCAAGTAAATAAACCATTTACACCTAGTTAATACAATTTTATATGACTTAGAATAATATTGTACAAAGTACTCTCTACAGTACCTAATATTTTATAGAAAAATAATTTTATGCAATTATCTTTAACCTTGGAGTACTTCTGCATCAGAGCACAAGTTAAAAAAGTAGATGCCAAAGGAAATCAAATTTATTTGCTCTGACTATTATCATATAAACAATGCCATTAACCCAAAGCAGATACAATTAACCATGGCACAGATTGCTGGGTACACTGGCAAGAGGTGTGGACAAGCCATCTATGCAGGTCATCCAGATCTGTGCAGTCCTGAACCATGCATGCAGATGGCCTTTGCTTTACTTTATGCAAGCCTAACAATACAAGGCTCATTTTTAGTAAATTTGTCCTAATTTTCATATTATAATGTAGATATATGTACAGTAACTAGATTATCAAAAAATTCTGGATGTGCATTCCTACTTAAAAAAAAATTTATCACACATAAAACCTTTAATCGTATTCACACTCAACAGTAAACAAATATAAATTAATCAACATGGAACTGTATGCACCATGTTAATGTCTTGCTCATCTCAAACACTCGTGTATTTCTAAAAGCACCAATCTACCAACTGCAGTGCCATTTCATTATGTATTTAAAGGTATGTTTTATCCATAACAGCTTTCAATTTAACACTGCAAATTCATTAATATTAAACATGGTTAAACAACATTCAAGGATGAAAATATATAAGCAGATTAGATGGATGCAGGTGCACCACTATTAAAATGAAAAGATATAAAGAATCTATAACGAAGCCAAGGATAAAATAATGGCAAATTAAAGATAAAAAAGGAGGAACTTGCGTGCTCAATAAGATCTTTTCAACACAGATATCTATACATTGAGGAAAAGTGTGTAGAAAATTACTTTATCTTATAGTAACTTGCATATTAACAGTAAAAAAAATTTAAGCTGCATGTGATCAGTACCATTTAATTCTTTCAAATTATATAAGTAATAGGCCAGATTAGCAAACAATGTGAGCATACTTTTGAAGGTTGTTAGGAGTGATAATTACTTGAAGTGATAATACAACCCATAATGAGGCATTACTGCATAATTTGTAACCAATATACTGTAGAGCATACAAGTCTGTCCAACAAAGTGCACAAAAGTGTAGTACTCATGCATAAGGAATTTGGAAGTGGACTTCGGAAATTAAAAAAAAAACTAAATTGTATATTACACAATGGTACATGAAGCAAAAAAAGTTTGATTGCATTTAATTAGATGCAACAGAAATCTATAAAAATTTAGTTTGGAGAACACGTGACCCTGTTGGGAGTACAGTGTTTCAGTATTATAATCTGCCTGAAAGTGCTTGTACTGTGGTATGTGAAGTTTACATAAACCATCAAGCAACAAGAAAGATTAACTGATACAAATTATTTTGATAATTATTAGTTTATTTGGAAATTCTCAACATAAATGTATACCACCAAGGAAATAAAATACTGTACATGACTGGCCACTTGTGATTCTTAGTGTCAAGGAATGTTCACAAAATGCTACTCGAGGCAAACACTGATATGCAGAAACCACATATGAGCTAAATCCCTTGATAATAATGAAAAAAAAAATTAATCTTGAAGTTGAGTGATCTTGGCAAATGCATCATAAACAATGCATTATACTTTCCTTTTGTTTTTGTCTGTATGACAGGTATTCAAATACAGTATGACAATATTAGCTTTTAAACAAGGTTTGTGATATTCATAACTACACTACTGTACAAATGAAATAATTTGAAAGCTACAGGAAATATTTCCAAGAATTAGATTTATCACCTTTAAAATCAGCTGGTATTTGAAGATTTCTCCTTATTTATGTGTTTTTTTTTCAATAATATTCACCGCATGTATTAATTATTCATTTGAAAATAAAATTCCTTTAAAATCCCACACTTTGTCGACACATGCACTCCTGAGACAACTATCATTCAAGTCATGAGTTCTTAATAATGTTGTAGGCCAAAATTGTTCACCAAAAACACTGAAACAATAAGGCACTCCAATATCCAATAGTGTACATTTAAAGTAATTTTGAACAGAATTTAAATTAAAAATGAATTGGAGAATTAAATATGAAACAAAATTACCTACTGTAAAGAAATTCAGTTAATTTAATCATAAAAGATAAATTAGCTGGTAAGCATGATCTTTAAACTTCTCTAATAAATATTACATAAATATTTTAACAAAATACTATAGTTGCTCATTTAAATACAAAAATTTCCAAGTAATTATTCTATGCGCGCACACATTACTTCACAACATCATGCACATCGTTGTTTCCAAAACAGGTTTTACAGTCACATAATGACAGCATTTTTGCCTGGAAGCATACTAGCTACACCTGTTTTATTGGCAGCCTTAAATGGAGCCAATTCTGAAACCACTGCTGTAGAAGTTTGAAACCACTTGTATCAGCACATGTTGTATTAGTACTGTAATTCAGCACCATAATACATACATTTATTTATTGGAATTTATTGTCAGACTAGTTACAATATTAGTTTACATTAATGTGTGGTTTCAGAATTGATGCCCAAATCTGATTTATGGAGGGATTTATCCCTCACATTATGGCTGCTGCTATCTCTTATCAAACACAACTGCTTTGAAGTCTCCACCTGAATTAAGATTTCTTCCACCTAGAGCTGCTGTACCATCACGACCAATATATAACTGCAAACCAGAAGCTGTAAAAAGAAATAAAGAAATAAAGATGAGAGATTTTGTAAGAAAAAGCAATTAGTGGTTTTGTTTTTTTCAATCAAATACACATTTGAAAAAGTTTAAGTCAAGGAAATAAACAGTAATTTGTTAAAATTTAGTGTAAGACCTCTTATAAAAATAAAAACTAGTAAAGAACTCGTCTACATTCTATGAGTATTTGACCCATTACAAAAGACGGCAAGTATTGTTGAACCTGTATATCAAAATTTCTGAATATTCTCACACATATATATTTAATAATTGTATATAATTTCAAGATATTGTCTGACAATAATACTTGTGTAATAATTTGTCTAGTTTTAGTAGTTTTTACATATTTTATTAATATTTCAACTTGGCACTAAAATTCCTTTGTGAATGGACAATTTTTAATAACTATAAAGACAATAGGTGCAAAAATATTCACATTTGGCTGTTGTGTGTATATTTTTGTAAATATTCGTTTTTGAAAGTATAATTTATGCCATTTAAGTTTTGAAGAAGTTTTTATGCATTATACCTATTAGCTTAGGTGGATGCTAACAAGGGTGCATCCCAACAGCCAGTCTCAGCACCAACAGCTTGGCTGAATGATTTTAATCAATTTGAACATTGTTAGTTCAAGTGAACAATTTGTACCAAATAAAAACTGAACCATCCAGGAATTCATTAGAGCAAGGACCAACTGGACATATTTTGGGGTTCAATGTTAAGCGAGAAAACTAGTAATTGTTCAGAGAAAAAATACTAATCAAATCAAACCATGAATTAGATGATGCTGCTTGCAAGTTGTTCATGCAGTAGCACACTGTGTGTAGCTATTTTGTATTGAATACAGTTCTATACTGAATATCCAAAATTCACCCACACAAAGTAACAAGAACTAACCCCCCCCCCACCCCAAGATAAAAAAAAAAAAAAACAGTGCTGAATATAATGAAATGCCAGTTTCTGGGCAAGACCCGGAGGCTCCGCGGAGCTAACCAGGCTGAGGTGAATGTATTAGACCCTGGCATCAGTCAATGCGCATAGAGTCTAGGCCTATCGGGGACCACGAGCCAGAACCTGGCCCCCCTCAGAGAAGAACGAGGAGCAATGGTCTATAGAAACCCCCGTGTGGTTGGAAGCATTCTATGTCTGCCATCAACCGGGTCAGGCACCCAGAAAGGTAAGCACCCCAAAACAAACCCCTATTCTGGTAAAAAAATATTGCCACTGAAAGCCGAACTAGTGGACAGAACTCTTCAAATAAAAACGAGCATGACGTCACCATATCACCGTGCAGCTGTCTATGCACCCCCTCCTCCTCCCTGGGTGGGGGAAGGAGGGAGCCTCAGACCCCCACACCATATTACCATCCTGTAGTTCTGAGGCTGGATGTCATTTGCAAATGTTGCTTTTCAAACCTGAATCTAAATTATTTATATATATTATAAACAGAGTGCCAGGACAGAGCCTTGAGGCACTCCACTTACAACATTTTCCCACTCTGACTTAACCCCATTTATACTAACCGTTTTCTTTGGTATAGCCATGCCCTAATCCAACTTAATATAGCACCCCCCAATACCTTGAGCCTCTATCTTTTTAATCAGTCTTTCATGTGGCAATGTATCAAAAGCTTTGCTAAAGTCAAGGTACAAAACATTACAATCCTTACCACTAAAACTGCCTCAACTATGCTGGAATAAAAAGATAGCAAATTTGTTAAACATGAACGGCCATTTGTAAAACCATGTTAGGATTAATTTATTAATTTATGTTTTTCAAGATGAAGACGAATTGTATTTGCAATTATCGATTCAAGTAACTTTCCCACAATAGACGTTAGGCTAATTGGCTGATAGTTTGACGCAAGTGATCTATCTCCTTTCTTAAAGATTGGTACCACATTAGCAACCTTCCATGACTCTGGCACTCTGCCTGACTATTGATTTATTAAATATGGTAGACAGTGGCTCGCAAAGCTCCTCTTTGCATTCTTTAAGCACCCTGACAAACACTTCATCCGGCCTTGGGGATGTGATTGGTTTGAGTTTTACTATTTGTTTAATTACATCCTCCCTGGTAACTGCTAAACTAGTCAACCTGTCCTCGTCCCCACCCACAGACTTGTTCGACTTGCAGGCATATTGTTAAATTCCTCTTTAGTAAATACAGAGATAAAATATTTACTAAAAGTACTACTCATCTCTTCGTTGTTATCTGTTATCTGACCTGTCTCAGTTTTTAATGGACCTATCTTTTCCCTAATCTTTGTTCGATATAACTGAAAAAAACTTTAGGATTTGTCTTTGCTTGCCCTGCTATGCAAACTTCATAGTTTCTTTTTGCCCTCATCTCTTTTTTAACATTTCTAACCAGTTTTACGAATTCCTGTTCTAAACTGACTTCCCCATTCTTAATTCTTTTGTACCACGCTCTTTCTTTTTACCTATAAGGTTTTTCAGATCCTTTGTTATCCACTTTGGGTCATTAGTATTTGATCTATTCAACTTGTATGGTATACTACGTTCCTGTGCTTTGCTTAGAATATTTTTAAATAAGTTATATTTTGAATCCACATCGAAAGCCCTTTTTATGTCACCTATCGCTGGGTTCACGTCTCGCTCCAAGACCTGCCCACCCCCCATGCTCAAGACTTTCCAATCTTGGCATGAAGCTCCCTGATCTAACCTCCAGAGGCCAATACCAACAGGAAAAAAGCCTTGGAAAAACAATCCTGAACCGAAGGGGCCACCACAAACCGAGAATGAGAGAGAAAGGAGAGCACCCAGTCTAATGACCAGGACGACTCGGGTGATGCACGAGCAGGCCGGAGGTGAAATAACGCATGAGAAAGCTTGCGGAATGGTGCAGAAGCAAGATCAATGCCGACTACAAACTGCAGCGGCTCTGCCAGCGCCGCACGATTCGAGGCGACAGTATTTAGCATAAGATGACTATCCTGGAACAACCACGAAAGGAAGGACAAGACAACCCTATCAGAGAGAGAAGTAAATCTACGAAAAGATAAGAAATAACGGAAGTACCACCAGGAAACGTCAAACTGCCGCCAAGATGAAGCACGCAGGTGGGACACCATCAATGAAGTCACCTGCTCCTCACCATACAAGTGGTGATAGACTGGAGTCGGAAAGACCAGATGCAAAGACTCTAGAAGATTGAACCAGCCATGTAACTGTCCAGACCGATCTGCTGAAAGAGGCAGAGCCGTGGGAAGACCCTCGGGTTCGGACACTGAGCAACCAGCGCCTGAAACCAAGGCTGGGCTGGCCACCAAGGTGGCAGGTCAACTCTCCCTTAGTAAGTCTCCAAGCGAACTAGGACCTGGAGCAACAGCAGAACTGGGGGCGGGGGTGGGGGGGGGGGGGGGGGGGGAGGGGGGGAGGTACAGGTAACCTCACCTCACCCAGTCCTGCCTGAAGGCACTGACCCCGATGGTCTTGCGGGCGAGGAAGGGCACCACATACAACGGGAGAAGCCTCGACCACACCGACACAAAGAGGTCCACCTCCAGAGGCCTGTACGTCCGGCAGAGCCAACTGAATGAGTTGGGGTCTACCGTCCATTCCGTGGACAGGGGAATGAACCAAGACAGGCCGTCCATCAAGACACTGGACACCCCCCGAACGTGAATGGCCAGGAGATCCAAACCCCCGAAAACTCGGCAGATGAATTACCCAAAGCAGCCAGCCCCAAAGAGCCAAGGACTACATCGAACCTGTGCGGTTCAAGTAATGAAGCACCAGGGAGCAGTCTAAATGGAGCCTGATAGTCAATCCACGATTGACCCAAACCCTCCGAAGCGACATCCACACAGCCACAAACTCCCACACCGTGCTGTGGGCCCGACAGAAGGACAGACCCCACTGCTCCTTGCCGGCCTGGTGAGCACTGGTCACAAAGCTCTAGGAAAGAGAAGACACATCCATGAACCCATTGAGTGAGGGCTCGGAGAGGTGCCAAGGCTCTGAACCACGAAAAACTCAAGAGAGGAAGCCGGAGATGAAGCTACTGATGCAAGGCCCCAGAGGCTGAACCCAGCTATCACGAAACAGGCGGGAGGAACGTTCCGGAAAGGAACCAAAACAGCTGACGAAGCCAAACCCGACCTGGTGGGTAGACCATCATGGCAAAGTTCAGGCTCCCGCACAAACCAACGAGCAACCGCCGCATTACCTGGGAGCACCCCAGAAACAGCTGAAGGCGGGACTGCAGCCGAAGCAGAGCCTCTGGAGAGAGAGAGACAAGGAAGCGGGCTGAGTCCCATGCAAGACCCAGCCAAGACCGAACTTGAGAGGGAACCAGATGGGACTTTCTCCAGTTCACCAGGAACTTGAACCCATCGAGCTGGAAAAGAACCAAATCTCTGGCAAGCAGACACGCGAACCAGCTGGGAGCCCACACCAGCCAGTCATCGAGGAAGACCAGAACCCGAATCCCTAAGAGACGCAAACGTGCCACCACGACCTAGGTAAGGTGTGTGAAAACACGAGGTGCCAGATTCAAGCCGAGTGGAAGGCAAAGAAAGTGGTAACACTGACGCCCCAGAACCAAACTGAGCCAGTCCCTGAACCCCAGATGAATCGGGACATTTCAATATGCATCCCGGAGGTCCAGGGACACCATCCACATGCCCTGCTCCAAAAGAAGATGGACTTAGGACAGTAAACATCCGAAAGTAGGGGCAATAAACCCATGGGTTCAGACGGGACAAGTCTAGAATGAACATGAAGTCTGCGCAGTCCCATTTCAGAACCAGAAACGGGCAGGAAACCCACCGGAGGGATGAGGTTGTTTCGACCACACCCAAGCGAATCCACTCCGAGATGACCTGACAGCGCAGGAGAAGAGGCCTGCCCTGCCAACCCCGAACCCCCCGAAGAAGGGGATGATGCCACCCAACGCCACCGCACGCTGCACGAAACGACCCAAAAGGCCCATAAATCCTGGGACCAAGTGTGAGCAAATAGTGCGAGCCTCCCCCCCATCGCCCCGTCAATGGGATGAATGGCGAAAGGGCCGACGCCCCTTACGTGAAACCGACCTCCGCACCGAGCGATCACTGCACCGACAAGACAAAGGCGGTTCCGAAGGCTGTGCCGGTTCCGAAACTGGCACCACTAGCCTACCACGATGGGATGTACCCCGAGCCCTGGCACGACCCTCCCAGGAAGACCCCCACAGTCCTCCCCCGGAGAACCAACAAGTCCGACATGGGACGACAACTAGAAGAAGCTGCATGCAGATACTGCATCACTGCAGACTGCAAACAGCAAAGGACAAAAAGGTGAAGAAAACCAGAGAGCCAGGACCCATGTGGATTCTACGGAGATAGCCAGCACCACCAGCCGACATGCGAGACGGGAAGCAAGAAACAACGACACCGCATCCCACAGGATTGGTGTAAACAGCTTCAAAAGAGCAGATGGCGCACACACTGCCGATACCAACGCATCAGACCTAAAATCGGCCCCAAGTGCCTCCAAGTCCTCCTCAAGCCAGTCCGAGAACAGCTTGAGAAGGGAAGAGAACCGCAAGACCGACGCCAACAGGCTACGGGCGCACAAGATCTCAGTGACCAGGACAGCCGAAAGGGTGGGAACCTGCACGTGAAACTGCACAATACCGACATCCTGAGGAAGAGCAGGGGTGAACAAGCATGCATTGAGGTGCTCAAATTCGTCCCCCAGGAAAACCAGGACCACCGTATGAGCCTAGCACCACTCAAGTGCACGGAACCAACAGAACGTATGCTATGCCTCCAACGAGAAAAAGGGGCAGTCCGCAAGCCAGGACGACTCCAGAACCTCATAAACCCAGTAAGGAAAAGAAGATCCAAACATGAAGGAAAAAGGATCCATTATGGAGGAATAGTCTGGGTCACGCAGGAGGTAAGCCACAATGGCTTCCCACAGCACATGAGGTGGGATGTGGGAGGCCAAAAAACCTCCGGAAGGACGGGACTGAAGAACCCAAGGGAGCACAGAACCGAACCTGGGAAGGGATTGATGCCAAATCCAACTCATACAAGGAGGGAGGAAAAGAAAATGCTACTCTGTAACATTAAGCCCCGCTTAGAGGGTACAAAAAACCCAAGCGGGGTCCAATGAGGCCCATGGCCCCCAACTCAATCCCTCCCCCGCCCTGGGAACTTCCCCCATTAGGACCCGGGGCCGAGCCATCCTCCAAGTCTCCTGCCCTAAAAGAAAAGGCAGTAGCAGCTGAAAAAGCAGGAACGAAGGAGGCCCACTGGTCAGACTCAGAAGCTCCGGCTGGAGGAACAGGCTTGAATGCCTCCGTCACCCACACCGGAAGGGGTATCCCTCGAAACTGCCCGAGTCTCACCACCAACTAAACCATGCCCCGACTCCAAAACCCTCGGATACTTTGGAGCCAGAAGCAGGGGGGGAAAAAGACAAGGACGAACAACAGAAGGGGAAGGACAAGGGGGCATGGACTGAACAAAAATAGGGCAGTCTCAGGACATCCGGGGTAGCAAACAACCTAAACTGAACATGCTATGCCAAAGCTGCCTGCACCCAAATGTCATAATCAGTGAAATGGGTGTACTAGAGTACAAACAAGGAACAAAACTCACAGGACTCCAGGTTGAAGGTGTCGCAGACCCAACAGGCAGTCTGATGGAGGCACAACCAGTGTCACCCTGAGACAAGGGGACAGAGCAAGCTTCAAACTTGCACGAAGTTAGAGGGACCCAAGGGTTGCATCCATCAGACCAAAGAGCTCCCGCAGGGTTTCCCAGGGCTCTTAGTCGCATAATCTCGCTAAAGGAAGCCCAGGCAGGATACTGTTAACCAGCACCCAAAGTTACCAATCAAACTGCTAAAGCTGAACCCCTGGGACGTGTACAGTCACGGGGACCTAGTAGAGGACCACCAAGATATAAACAGTTGTGATCAAAACAAGTGTGGGGGGGGGGTGTAGAACCCCCCATCCCCACCAGGCAGGAAATCAAAAACAAAAGAAAAATCCAGCAAGAGGACAACGTGCTCAGGTGGAACAGAACCGGCTGCTATGAGAAGTGAAAACTAGCTGCACAGTACCCTGCGACCCAACTAGTGACAAAACTACCCCCCCTACCCGGAGTCAAACAATGGTGCATGAAATACCCCAGCTGATTTCAAGGGCAGTCAATCACCGAGCAGCAAAAAACCTCACAGAGTTAGACCCCAAGATGACTTGTGTTAGGTGGCCCCCAAGCCCGAAGGGCAGTACTTGCAGAGCACCTAGGGAAGGGGACCGTAGGCGCATGCAGCCCGAGTACTTGTGAAATAACTCTTGGCTTGAGCACCACCCTTTAGACAGTACCACACCACATGGCACAGAACAGGAAAAACAGGAGCCAGAGGCGCACGACCTTGCCAGTTCACATCAGCCACAGAACTACAGGGTGGATAGCCGGCATGAGGGTCTGGGGAGGTCCCCATGCCGGCAATCTGCACAACCCCTTTCCCCTCCCGGGGATGGGGGGGGGGGGTTTGTGCAGACAATCGGAGCAGTGACATGGTGACATGTTCGTTTGCTTGTTTTCATTTGGGGAGTTCTGTCCACTAGTTTGGCTTTCAGTAGCAATATTTTTTTTACCAGAATAAGGGTTTGTCTTGGGGCGCTTAACTTCCTGGCCGCCTGACCTGGTCGATGGCAGACATAGAATGCTTTCAACCATAAGGGGATTTCTATAGGCCGTTGATACTCATGCCTCTCCGAGGGGGCCAGGTTCTGGCTCGTGGTCCCTAGTAGGCTTAGAACTCCATGCGCATTGACTGATGCCAGGGTCTAATACATTTATATCAGCACGGTTAGCTCTGGGGAGCTGAAGGGCCCACCCCCCCAGAAAAAACACTTTTATATGTTTTTTTTTATGTGCAAAGTGATGTGTTTTATCACTTATGGCAAACAAAAATAAATAGCAACAAAAATACAAAGCTTTGCCAACCAGAACATCTTTGTAATCAATCTTTGTAACAAAGTTCCAATTAAGTGATTAAAGCAAGGTTCCATATTACTGAACTCGTGCCTTTTCAGGTTTACACATTTCTCGCTTTCTGCTTTCTCAAACTGCAGACATCATCTACTTAATGGAAATGATCCTCAATCTTTCAAATATAATTTTGTTGCCTGTTGTAAACAAGTGACAACCACTACTTTCATAATTAAACTGACATGATGAATGCATTGTCAAATGTTTTGGCTACTCCAAGATTATGGAACATCTGAAAGTAACTGAAATGCCTAGAAATGATTGTATAGAAAGAGACTACTCTTACTACTACTTTTAGACTACTCTAAGAGATTACACTACTTAAGTAAAATGCATACACTCTACTGAAGAGACAACGTTCTTACTTTCTGCAGAATCGTCTGATTTTAATGACTCAATTTTTGTATCTTCAAACAGCTTATCAATGATATCATTAGCATCGATCCGTGTAGCATCTACTCTTGACTCTTTGTTGGCTTCTGTTGAAGCATTTTTGGCTCGGTTTGCTGCCGTTCGCTCCAAAGAACCCCCATCACTTATGCCACCAGAGCCAGCACTACTACTCCTGCAAGTCAGTTTCAATAAATCATTTAGTATAAAATAAAATAAAAATTATTCAACATGTATACCTTTAAAGTACAAATGGAAAATACATTCACATCTAGGATATAATAAAAATTCAACTACTGCCACACATGCAAACCTGATCTAGGAAATGACTGACAAATGCAGACAACTCACAATTACAAATGGCAATCTCTATATTTTCATACAAATATAATAAAAGCTGACAAAAAGACAACTGGAAGCAAGATGAGAACACAAAACAAGACTTCCACTTGGAATTGTGTACAGAACTTTAACAACTTTCCATGTCACTTGCAGCAGGACTTGTGACGTGATTACAATGCACTGACACTGTAGTAATATTATATTATGTAGGGAAACACCAAGATGCAAATGATATCTGGTACTATGCTAAGAACCTGAGGGGAAAGAATGTGGAGAAAGGAAGCCTATTAAGTAGGAGACAAGACGAGGGACATCAGTGGAAATTGGACATACAATAGAGCCTTATAGATGCAAGGTTATTCTCATACCCTGTACAGGTCTTTGGCAAGTGAAATGCATTGAAGGAAGAGGTTGTGGAAGTCAATTTGGTCCACAACTTTAAGAAAAAATACAATAGAAACTTTAATGTTGAGAGAGGTAAGTAACATGCCAGGTATAAATGGCTAGAAGGCAGGTTATAAAGAGCCAGATCTTAATTCCCCATAGTCATTGATAGGTAAAAACGATCCGACAATTGAAAACAAATCTGGTTAATAATATAACCTTAAAGCAAAATGCACAATTTTAAAGACATTCTGAGATAGGCATCAGAAGTTGACAAATTTCTCTGTACATTAATGATTAATGATAATTGGCCATGTCTGATGACTAACTAATGACTAATCACTATATATATCTTCCATTGTATATGTCAACTGTAATTATGAAACAATATAATGAAACTCTCATGTCTCTATACGTTGCATTTGAGCTATGATGAAAATTTATTATATTACAGAATACAAAACTGTTCCAAAATTTTACACTGTCCACATTTGAATTAAATATCTTCAAATACTCATGAGATTCTAAATAAATATATATACATTATATAAACTGGCACTATGTTTATGTCACATTTAAAAATAAATGATTCATTCCAAGTAGACTTGAGTAAGTGGTACCTCTGTTTACGAATGCCCGTTTACGAACTTTTCGAGTTACGAGCCCGATTTGTTTGGAAAATTTGAATCGGGATATAAACTTTACCTCGGGATACAAGCTTGTTGATACGTGTACGGCCGACCTAGTACGTGGTGTCATGGCAATCGCGCGCTTGAATTCTTCACAATGATTTACAGTTTCTTTTCGGATTTTTTACTATTTGACCATAAAAGTTATTATATATCTCGCCATGGGTCCCAAGAAAGCCAGTGGTAAGGTTCAATGCAAGAAATCCCATGTGAGAATGACCATAGAGGAAAAAACAAGAGATTATTCGTAAGCATGAAAATGGTACTCGTTTTATTTTTGCTAGGCATTACAACAAATCCATGTCAACGATATGCACTGTACTTGCCAAGAAGGTGTAGTAGGCCGTTGCATTAATCTTTTCAATGACAATGTGATGCCTCACTACAGACAATTGTTGCAAAGGGAAAACAATTTTCAATGGAACGTTTCCTTGTGAGAAAATCAAGAAGTGAGCCACAACCAGGACCTAGTGGTATGCAGGCAAAACGTGCCAGAGAGTGCACTCCAGAGAAATCTTCACTGCCTGATATTATAATGAAAGGGGACTCCCCTTCCAAAAAACAAACTCCCCTTCTTCCATTATTTCTTATAGGGAAATTCACTTCGGTTTACGAATTTTCGGGTTACGAACCGTCTCCAGGAGAGGATTAAATTCTTAAACCGAGGTACCCCTGTATTCTACGGTGACTCCCTAGCACTAGTATGACACGATGAGGACAGTTTGAAAAGTTTCTCACTGTGAAAATAGAATGTCAACCTGCTCAGACTGCATCATATACTATCCAGAGACGAGACGGATCTTGTCTTAGGGAGTGAATCGAGTTGGTTAACTGGGAAAAGCACATAATATTTCACATGAAGTTGCAGGCAACCAATGAAAATCCTACCATTAAATAATGTGCTTCTTTTACTGGCAATATTATTTTTGGACCTAAATACAATATGTATACCACACTTTACTTGCCTATGTCTAAGTATTTAACTTGTGCTCGCAAACCAATGTGAGTAAACCTAAAAATATGCAGAGTATGGATATGATTTATTATAAAACTTCAAATGGGTGTGAAGGCTGTTTTAGGCCACTGTGCTTCTGCAAGTAACATAACGAACCACTTCCCGAGAGAAATGGTGCTTCCCATTGTACCTTCCCATAAAACAAACAGGAGATCCATAAAAAATGAATATAAACAATTATAAATTAAGTTCAGGTTACCTTAAAGCACGAATGAACATCAAATATGTTAATTCTAAACACTAACATAAGAAACATGACCCACATAAATACAAAGAACTTATGATTTTAATTTACATCGAAACATCTCACACATATTTCCAGATTATATTTTACTGTAATAATCCATGAATAAATGAGCTGATATTAGTGCACAAATAAAAGAAGCATTTTAATCACAGTTATGGATTAAAAATTTCAAACAAAATATCTTACAGTCACTGAAGAGGATTACGTTGCTAACCTGATTTCCTTACTCGAGTCTGTAGTAACATGCAAACTAGAGGAGTGGTTGTGTAATGCAATAGCAGATAGTCCAGTGTGCAGGGCTCCAACTGCCCACTGAGTTTGTTGAGGAGAAGCTACCAGTGTGTGAATACCATCTTCAGGACTCGCACCACTGGACACTGATCCTCCCCGAGTTCCAGATGAAGACTGGGACACGAGTGATGGAGTTGAACCCCCAAGGAGATTGGATAACTCCGAAAATAAAAGCAGACTGCGCCTTCTAGAGTCAGAAGGTGGGGTATTACCGCGGGAAGATATTTCATTTGGTGAAGCAGGATGGAGATGGAAGCAAGCAGTTGGTTTAGAGGGAGGTAAACCCTTAAGATGTGCATACTGAAGAGAGTGGGCGTAAAACTGATCTGAGAGACTCGTGTTAGTAGTATACAAACGGAAGCTACTTGGCTTGGAGGAAGGATAGATGCTGTCAGGCGACCAGACGGTGAACGTTGGGCAACGGCTGCATAAAACCAACAGCAGCATTACATCATTAGTAGCACAAAATACTCTAGGTTTACTGTTTATTCACAATGAAGCTAATAAATTGTTGAAAATGTCAGAGAAAACTTGTGTAAATAAAGCAAAAGCAATCATGCAATAGTAAAAATTTAAGCTACAGAATAGCAAAATTATCATGCAAATTTGACGCAGAAAAGTTTAGTACTGTACTGCACAACACTCACCTAATATGACCCGATTTTTCCGATTGCGAGTTAATCGATGCATAGCCAGAGGCATGCGAGCCATGGCTGGTGTTGGAAGAGTTTCTGGAATGCCCCGGTGCCTCACCTGCCCAACCTTCACCTTCCTCGCCATCTCCAAACACCTCTGTCAAAAACAAGTTCCACTTAATTTGCTCATTTATAATTGTAAATTGCACTTTCCAAGCAAGTTAGGCAGGTTACAAATATGTTTCCTATATACTATACTATGCTATAATGAACTGTACTCTAATGTACTCTGATCCCCTACCAAGACAACTAACTTTTCAAGTTGTCTTTGCCGCAAGTCCAAGAGTGAGGAACAATAGAGTATACCTCAATCTACCATTTGGAAACAATTCTGACACCAAAGAACATAAGACTACTAAATATTCCCTCCAGACAATTATTGGGATTGCTGAAATAATGTTGTCAATTACCATTTGAAACTATAGTACATAACCACATAACTAGCAACATGACTGACCACGACCTAGAGACTATATATTTTAATGGTAGCTAGCAGCTTTTGTGGTGTTACCAGGTGAAGCTCTGCTGTGTTAGCTGCTTCTCCACAGCCATGGTATGCCATATTTTAGTTTTCCTGTGATCAGGGAACACATTTTAATAACAATAGGAGAAAGAACAAACAAAAAATTTCATTTCTTATGCAGTGGAGCATTGTCATGTAAAAACAGGTGTGCAGACCAAGGCTTAATAAAGGTATCACCTATGTTGTGAAATTTAAGTATTACTCCAGCCATGTACTGTATTTGAATGTAATTCTGAACTTAGTAAGAGTAACATAGGCTACTCTTACTCTGCCCTTGATGTAGTCCTTTTGGTAATAATTTAGATTCCTTTAGTCAAAAACTCTCTAGTGCAATGTAACTGAAGTGTGTAATAATTCTTTATATCAAAATTGAGAGGATACTGGTTAAGCACAATAAAAAACAACAATAGGTATATTCTCTATAAATTACAAGCAATAAGTATTTCATAGTTGTTGAGAGCGAGACATTTGTGGGTTCTGAGGCTGGCTAAAAGACTAGCAGTTACATGGCGTTTAAGGCAGATGGTATTACTGAAGTAGATTACAGCAACTTTCCTGTTGGTGGACAAGTTTTAAGTACTGTACTGTATGTTAATTTGATTGTTGGTGCTTGGCTTTGTGAACAAATCTCAAGTAGTACAGTACTGTACTTCAATTTGTAGGTGATTGACAAATCCAACAAGCCAGTGTACTAGATACTACAGCTCAAAATGTGTGGAGGTCATTGCCCTTGGAATGCAGGAGGCACAAAAAAGGAGCTTGTAGATGCTGGCAGGATGTAGTAATAACATCAACACATGTAGATACAGTACAGTAATGTATAACAAGAATGTGACAGTAAAAAGATAAGCACAGAGCATGTATTCTAATCGATAACAAAATGAGCAATTTAAGAATAAACTTAGATAAAATACTAGAATAGGAAACATGAGAAATCATGAAATACAGTATTTACCTGAATCTACCTGAGGGCCACCAATACTAGTGGCCTCGATGAAGACAGGAAGCCGGTGGCTTGTCAAAAGTCCCCCCCCCCCCCCCATTTGCCCTGATGATCTTTAGCTGTATTTTAAAGCTCAGCAGAGTTTTGGCATTTATGGCTTCGGTGGGTAGGTGGTTCCACAGGTTTACAACCTATGGGAGAAAAAGCATCTGCTGTTTTCTGTCCTACATTGTGACTTGTTGAGCTTGAACCCTTTGCTCCTCGTTCGTGTTACATCTGACCTTTTGAAGAAATTGTCCAGATCGACATCCTCCAAATTGTTTAGTACAGTATTTAAAAGGTTTCGATGAGATCCGCTCTGTCATGCCTGGTTTGCAGTGCTGTTAGCCCAGTGGCCAGTTAGCCCAGTGGCCAGTTAGCCCAGTTACCCCAGTATAGTACGATAACAATTACACACAGACCATTTAGTACATCCAGATGTCTATACAACAAATACAAATAAAAATTTAAACATTGTGAAATTTTTCAGAAGTATTTTTTTTGTTTAAAAGAAATATAACATTCATTTTATTATGTACTTTAACAAACAATTGCACTTAAAATACTGTACCTATAAAGGTCTTTTAATGGGAAAGAACCAACTTACAGTACAGTACAGTATATAGGAAAACTATTTTCTCGCTGTACCTGTACCTTTGTCAATATGACACCTGTAATGTTTCTAACGTGGAAATACTAGACCTAGTCATATTTATAACAATGAAATTTGTACTATGCACTTACTGTACATTGGTAGTACTAATGTCATTTATTGTATTCCAGTTGGTGAAGTGACAGGCAACAACATCTATCAATCTGAAAATACTGACTGTCTTGCCTGAAAGGTGCCAGCAGCACTTCATGGGGGTGAGGGAACCATCATAAAACAATCTACAAAATAAAAAAGGCAAACACTACCTAGACCCAACATGAACAAACTGTTGTGTGTGTTATAACGGTTCAAAACACACACACACACAAATTCTTCTTTTGCTTCTCGGTTTTTTCCTGTTGGGCCAGGATAAACCTGTTTACTATCTCCTGACACTTCTGGGTGACATAGTCTACTAAGTCCGTACAAGATATGATGGACTATGTCACCCAAAAGTGTCAGGAGGCAGTAAACAGGTTTATCCCAGCCCGACAGGAAAAAACCGAGAAGCAAAAGAAGAATCCATGGTTTAATAGGGCATGTATGAAAGCAAAGAACTGAACAAAAGGGCGTGGAGGAACTTTCGAAATAACAGAACACCAGACAGTAGGGAGAGAGATACCAGAGAACCAGGAATGAGTATGTAGGTGTGAGAAAAGCTGAGAAAAAGTATGAAAAATAATATACATAGCTAATAAAACCAAAACTGAACCAAAACTACTACAGTCACATCAGGAGGAAAACAACAGTGAAGGAACCGGTGATGAAACTTAGAACGGGTGAGGACAGGTACACAGAGAATGACAGAGGTGTGTGTGAAGAATTCAACAAGAGGTTTCAGGGGGTCTTCACAATAGAACAAGGAGAGGTCACTGCGCTAGGAGAGGTGGCAGTAAACCAGATGGCCTTGGAAGGGTTCGAAATTACAAGAGATGAGTCAAAAGAGGCACCTGTTGGATCTGGACGTGAGAAAGGCTGTTGGCCCGGACAGAATCACACCATGGTATTGAAAGAGTGTGCAGGAGTGCTTTGCTTGCCACTCTCCATAGTGTATAGTAGGTCACTGGAACTGGGAGACCTACCAGAAATATGGAAGACTGCTAATGTAGTCCCAATATACAAAAAGGGTGACAGACAAGAGGCACTGAACTACAGGCCAGTGTCCTTAACTTGTATATCATGCAAGGTGACAGAGGAGATCATTAGAAAAAACCTAGTAACACATCTGGAGAGAAAGGACTTTGTGACAACCCATCAACATGGGTTCAGGGAGGGTAAATCTTGCCTACAGGCTTAATAGAATTCTATGATCAGGCAGACTGCATTTTTTTGGACTGTCGGAAAGCCTTTGACACAGTACCCCATAAAAGGCTGATGCATAAGCTGGAGAAACAGGCAGGAGTAACTGGTAGAGCACTCCAGTGGATAGGAGAGTACCTAAGCAATAAGAAGCAGAGAGTTACAGTGAGGGGTGAGACCTTAGATTGGTGTGAAGTCACCAGTGGAGTCCCACAGGGCTCTGTATTTGGACCTATCCTGTTTCTGATATACGTAAATTATCTCCCAGAGGGTATAGACTCGTACCTCTCAATGTTTGCTGACGATGCCAAAATTATGAGAAGGATTAAGACAGAGGAGGACAGCTTGAGGCTTCAAGAAAACCTGGACAAGCTGCAGGAATGGTCGATCAAATGGTTGTTAGAGTTTAACCCGAAGCAAATGCAATGCAATGAAGATAGGTGTAGGGAGCAGGAGACCAGATACAAGGTATCATTTGGAATATGAAATACTGTACTTCAAGAGTCAGAGAGAGATAATGACCTGGGGATTGATATCTTGCCAGACCAGTCCCCTGAAGCTCATATCAAGAGAACATCATTGGCATATGTCAGGTTGGGTAACATAAGAATTGCCTTTAGAAACTTGTGTAAGGAATCTTTCAGAACTATGTATACCACACATGTCAGACCAATCCTGGAGTATGCAGCTCCAGCATGGAGTCCATATCTAGTCAAGCATAAGACTAGACTGGAAAAGGTTTAAAGGTTTGCCGCCAGATTAGTACCCGAACTGAGGGGGTATGAGCTTCGAGGAGAGAATACAGGAATTAAACCTCACGTCACTGGGAGACAGAAGAGTTAGAGGGGACATGATCATCACATACAAGATTCTCAGAGGAATTGACAGGGTACATAAAGACAGACTATTTACCACAAGGGGTACATGCACTAGGGGACACAGGTGGAAATTGAGTGCCCAAATGAGCCATAGAGACGTTAAAAAGAATCTTTTCAGTGTCAGAGTAGTAGACAACTGGAATACATTAGGAAGTGATGTGGTGGAGGCTGACTCCCTACACAGCTTCAAGTGTAGATATGATAGAGCCCAGTAGGCTCAGGAACCTGTACATTAGTTGATTGGCAGTTGAGAGGTGGGACCAAAGAGCCAGAGCTCAACCCCCCGCAAACACAAGCAAACAAGTCCACGCACGCACGCTGGAGATGCAGGTAGGAATGAAAGGGAAGGTACTCCATTGGATAAGGAAATACTTAAGTAACAGAAGACAGCGAGTCACTGTGAGGGGTGTGGTCTCAGACTGGCGAGACGTCACCAGTGGAGTCCCGCAGGGTTCAGTCCTTGGACCCATACTGTTTCTGATATATGTAAATGATCTACCAGAGGGTATACTCATTCTTCTCATTGTTTGCTGATGATGCAAAAATTATGAGGAGGATTAAGACGGAGGAAGATAGTATGAGGCTACAAGATGACCTAGACAGACTGAATGAATGGTCCAATAAATGGTTACTAAAGTTCAACCCGAGTAAATGTAAGGTAATGAAACTAGGCAGTGGAAAGACACAAGATACAGAATGGGAGATGAAGTCCTTCATGAAACAGACACAGAAAGATCTAGGAGTTGATATCACACCAAACCCG